GACAAAGGTTAATTTTTAATGACTGTATCATTGTTTCACCAGTATCAGTAATTGCATACTTAACAAATAGACAGATCTTAAGAAATCAATAAGAAAATGATGAAAAGATCATTCATAAAAGAAGAAATGTGCCCTGGTGTGGTAGCTCAGTTGGTCGAAGCATCATCCTGATATTCCAAGGTTGTGGATTCCATCCCCATTCAGGGCACACACAAGATCAACCAATGATTGCATAAATAAGTGGAAGAACAAATCAATATTTCTCTTTCTCTCTATCGCTTCCTCTGTCTCTCAAATCAATTTTAAAAAAGAAGAAATGCAAATAACCTATATAATTATGAAAAAATATTTAACTCATAGAATTGCAATTAAAAACCATAAGGCACCATTTTCACCATTACAAGATAAATAGAATGTTTACATCAAATAGAGAAATTATCTATTTTTTATGCCATTGATGATTCTGTCAACAATCTTTTTGTAGGATTATTGGGCACTATATTTTTTAAAACTTAAGATTTTATATATAGTTATATATCTTTTGAGCTATGGTTTTTCCTTCGATGATTGCACCTTAAGAAAATAACCATAAATATGAGCAAAAATTTCACTAAAATATATATTCTTTCAGCATATTACACGAAGACCTATAGAGAGATGGTGACTTTCAAGGGCCGTTCTTCTCTATGTGTTGGCTTAGCATTTCGCATATGTCCATCTTATGACACCTCCATGTGACAACAGAGAGAGAGAGAAGATTCAATGCTTCCACTCCAAAATGACATACGCCACTTCAACTCACATTTTATTTGCCAAAGTCAGTGGTCACATCCAATCTCAAAGGACCATAAAGTAAGTCATGTAGTGGGCCTGGAAGCAGAGGGGAATTGGATATTGATGAGTAATAGTATTGCTTACCATGCAGTGGTATTGTTAAGAGTTTAAAATGATAAAATCATTTGTAAAAATTGTGTGTGTATGTGTGTGTGTGTGTACACATAGATATAGACAGATGCACATATGCATATATAGAGTCAACAGAGAATCTCTCAGGCTTGCAATACGATAATTAATTTTCATTTTCTCTTTTCCTGCATTTTTAACATTTTCCACAATGAGCAAGTGTTATAATAAAAAAATCAAGTTATAACATTTAAATAAACAGTAACAAAGAAACATGTTGGAAATATTTTCTTTTCCTTGGTAAATGTATATTATATGTCTACAGCTGTTTGAAGCCCAGATTTTTGGATCTTTTAAGCAAGCAATGTTCTTTAAATTTTACCCTTTGCCATTTTTGATGATTTCTATTTCTTTCTGCACTGCTTTGTTCAGGTCCTTAAGCCGAATAAATCATTAAACTTTTGTTTGAGTGGTAGTCTTTAATTTCCATTCCAGTAAGATGGTGCTCAATGTGTGTGATTGAACCATGATTATAGTAGCATTACTCCTCTTAAGAAGACATAGGAAAGGACACATGGAGTTAAGTGTGTTCTGAAGGCATGTGAGCAATTGCCACTGAAGTGATTTAAGATATGACCTTTTCTCTTGTATTCTCAACCAGAAGTGTTCTTAAAGGGGAGAAAAAAAGAAAGAAGGAAAAGAGCTTCGTGCATTTTGATTATCATAGGACCTGACCCCATTTTGCTTAGCAAAGAAATTTGAAGTTTGAAATATAACCCTGGATTCCACTTCATTCTTGCCCCTTAGAATTCAAGTGACTGTGTTGGTAGAGGTGAAAGCCCTGCTTGACTTAGGTGTCCTGTAAGTCCAGCTGAACAGGGCCCTTTCAGAGGCTGTTGGCTATTTCCCTGAGCTTACACAGCCGATCTGCACCCTGTAAGCATGGTGCCTGTGGTATAACATTGAGATTAATGAGTTGAATCTGCTCTAGATGACAGGGTCTCCGGCGTGCATCCAGACCAGCCTACACACAGAACTGCTCATGTGTATAAAGCTGCCTCTTTAGAGAGATATATTTGGATATTCACAGGTTCTGATGAGAAGCTTACTCTCTTTCAGATTTGGGGACCCAGAAGGAGGACTGTATGGTCTAGATTCAGTGATGGGGAACCTATGACACGCGTGTCAGAGGTGACACGCGAACTCATTTTTTTGGTTGATTTTTCTTTGTTAAATGGCATTTAAATATATAAAATAAATATCAAAAATATAAGTCTTTGTTTTACTATGGTTGCAAATATCAAAAAATTTTTATATGTGACACGGCACCAGAGTTAAGTTAGGGTTTTTCAAAATGCTGACACGCCGAGCTCAAAAGGTTTGCCATCACTGGTTTAGATAGAAGCTTGTATCTCTTTCACTCCTGGAGAATGTTGCTAATCTGTCTACTGTGAATCTTGATTTTATTAGCTTTTGTTCTGAATCTCTACAATAAACAGACCCTATTTAATTTACCAAACAATATCTGTGCCTGTCAGTTCATCAATCTGAGCCAATTATTTCCATTTATCAATATGGAGGCCATGAAAGAATGGAAAAGAACTTGAGCTCACTTAAACATAAAAATTGGATTTACTTTAAGGATACACACAGAGATACCCAAAATATGTGTTCTAACTCTGAGAGAGAGAGAATCAGAATGGTGTTTCTTAGGTCAGGGAACTTAGGACTCCATGTCCAATAAATAGAGACCTTGGTTCAGTGTAACAAATTCAATTGTATCAGCTGATACCACTCATGGATGATGTGAGGCAGTTTTCAGGGAAGGGTGATTGTGAATTATCTAGTAAATCACTACATAGAGAGGGCATGCTATTGATAACTCTTTAGAGGCTCCCATGGTAGGCATACCAGTCTCCATTGGTGCTCAATTCCCTTCCTATGGTGCATGGAGTATTGCATCCATCAGCAACCATGCAGGTAAGTGAGGCCATGTGATTAGTTCTGGCCAAATGAAGAGTGGGTCAAGTGAAAGATGTCATGTCTGGGTGGAAGCAATAAAATTATATAATTATCTAGTTGTGCTCTTCCCTGATGAATCAACCAAGAAGGCTGCACAGCATGGTGGCATCTCCAGCAGCCTGGAGTTTGAGGTCATCCCATGGAGAATGGTTGCCCCCTGGATAGATACCTGGCTCAGTAACTAAATTTGCTTCAGTGAGACATACAGCTTTGTGGTATTAAAACACTCAGATTTGGGGGTTGTTACTATAGCAAAACCAGTCTATCTTGACTAACTTACTCTGTAAGTCATCTCTAGGCTGCATTGAAGTCTAGCTTTGCAGACTCTTTGATCTGGCTCCTAGTTCAGGCCATTGATGAATGCTGATCACTGCTCTAGTCCATTCGACACTAGGTCTTCCAAATCACTCAGTCACCAAAGGACTATATCCCATCTCTAAGACCCTTAAACCAAAGAGCTGCTCTGATGAAGTTAGCTGCTGTACCACTCTTCAGATGTGTTCTTTTGTCTTTCAATCTTTATTCTGTAAAGTGTTTATGAGAATGGGTTTTGGCTTCAGATGAGCTTGGGTACAAATCCAGCCTCAACTATTTCTAGCCAAGAAAATGGAAGAAATAAGAAAGTTGCTTCATCTCTCTAAAAGTTTTGTTTCCTTATAGAGATGGCATTAGCATTTACTCATAGACTTGTTGAAAAGGTAAAATGAGATGATGTGAATAAAGTACCTGGCAGGAAGTGCTGTCACAAAGCTCATGCTCCTTAAATCTGGTTATTATTGGTCTTATCAGCTCTTCCCCAGTTCAGGGTCAGTTTCCAAATCCTTAAGTACTTTCCTTATGAGTCACCTTATAGCCATGATCACCTAATTCTGGAAGACATGGGATGACCTGACATCGTATTCCAAAATCTTCATCTACTGGCCTTTTCCTTGGAGTTTAAAGCTTGGGATTTTACCTTCTTAAATAGAGGCTCATTAAAGAAACAGGTGCCAGTGACTTCGTTTCCTATCTCAGTGTATGTGTTCCCAAGCAATCCGTTGTCTAAACAGAAAGTAGGAAAGAATAAGCAATGTGCCTACACCCCTTTGGTTATTGGTTCAGCTGATACTGGTGGGCTATGCTTTGAAGAGTGAATCCTCTTTATTTCCTGCCTCTTATTTTTTTTAAAATATATTTTTATTGATTTCAGAGAGGAAGGAAGAGGGGGAGAGAGAGAGAGAGAGAGAGAGAGAGAGAGAGAAATATCCATGATGAGAGAGAATCATGGATTGGCTGCCTCCTACAAGTCCCCCACTGGGGATCCACAACCCAGGCATGTACCCTTGACCGGAATTGAACCTGGGACCTTTCAGTTCGCAGGCTGATGCTCTATGCACTGAGCCAAACCAGCTAGGGCCTGCCTCTTATTTTTCTTTTTTTCTCCCAATCAAAACAAACTTTATTAACATATATGTATATGTAAAATGAAATATTTATATAAATCAAGTATGTTCTCAGAATTATAGAAACTAACCCAATGTTTTTCAAGTTCACATAACCTAGAAGTTCCACTTCTAGGTACATACCCAAAAGAAATGGAAACATGTTCACACAAAAAACTTGTACACAATGTTCATAGCAGCATTATTCATAAGAACCTCAAACTGTAAACAACCCAATATTCATCAACTGATGAATGGGTAAACAAAATGTGGTATGCCTACACACTAGAATATAGCATACATAAAACTTTAAAATGTTATGCTAAGTGAAAGAAGCCAGTCACAAAAGACCAGATATTATGACTGCATTTATGTGAAATGCCCCCCCCCCCCATAGGCATATCACTGGAGGCATATCCATACAGAAATCAGATTAGTGACTGCCTGGGGCTAGGGCGGGAGGACAGGGAGGGGGCACTGGGAAAGGGAGGCTACTGTTAATGGTTATGGGTTTAAAGTTCTACAATTGGCTCCTCTCTGAGGGGGCGTGGCTAGGCCCTGGGGGCGTGGTTGGACTCTTGGGCGGGGCGAGCCAGCTTAAAGCCTGGCTGAGGCACAGCGGCCCACACTGTGGTGGCTGTTACCTGTGGAGGCATGGAGGAGTGCGCTTGCCTCTGCAGCGTGGGCTCTTCGCGGGGATGTCGGTGTCCTCAGAAGCGCCAGCGCCCAGTTGAGATGGCAGCGGCCTACGGCAAGCGGGCCCCAGCAAAAAAGCACATCGAGGGGGATGTGGCAGCGTGGTGCTGTGCGGGGAGTGGAGGAATTGTGAGCCCCATGCCACCCCCGCACTGCTCGCTGCAGGACCTGCCGGTGGAGATGCTGGTGGAGATCTTCGCCTGGGTTCCTGGCACCCACCTGCCCAGACTGTTCCAGGCCTGCACCAAATTCCACCACATCCTGCACATCGACAGCATCTGGAGAAGGCGCTGCCACGAGGAGTTTGGCGTTCGTGAAAACTTGCAGAACCTGGAGATGATGGGTCTGTCTTATCGAGAAGTCTATGCGAAGCTGTTCCCATACAGACACATTTTGGGATTGTGGCAGCTAGATAATGAGTACTACAGAACACTAGTGAATGTAGTGGTGGACGGCTTATGCATTACTGGTTGGAAATACAGGCCTTCCCTTCACACCCATGTGGGTGGCCCAATACATTTCAAGCCCTCGTTCAGAATTCGCCTGAAGGAGAGGAAATCAGCCACGGTGGAGTGCATGGCAGGCATCAACAGCAGGCCCCACAACTGCCACATGCAGATTGAGAAGGACAGGTTCACGACCCGGTGCAAGAACACAGACCACGGAACAGATTTACCAACGTGGCTTAGGGAAGAAGGGGGGCTGGTGCTGGAGGACAGACAGCAGTATGACTGGCTGACCTACCGCCGCCTCTATCTCCCGCCGAGCCACCCGGACGACCTCATCAGGCCAGGCCTCTTCCAATACTACTACGATGTCTTCGGCCTAATGATTGCCATGCTCAGCTTCCATGGGAAGTATGCCAGGGTCACCAAGATCACGGGAGTCTCCAAGAAGACGTTAGAGATCCACCTCATGCGCAGCATCCAGCTGCGAGATGGCGAGATCTTCCGCAACTTCAATGAGCTCTCCCGCGTCGTCCAGGAGATTGACGAGCAGGTGATCCGGGAGCAGCAGCAGCAGCAGCAGCAAGAAGATGGGACTGAGGAAAGCAAGGGCCATGGCTGGCAGAGCCCTGCCCAGCCCAGCGTGGGGGAGTCCGGGGCTGCAGCTTCGGAGGAGCAGCCTGTCCGGTTTGTTCCGCCTGTGGGCATGCGCACAAGAGACCAGAACTACCCCCGAACCTGCAGGATGTGTTTCTATGCCCTGGACACTGTTACCTCAGATGGCTCATTCTACCCCGGGTGCTTCCCTGGAGTCTTCATCCTGTTCGATGAGAACCACTTCGGGTTCATCTGGCTGGAGGCGAAATATTTCTTCCTGTGCGGCAGAGTACAGAACAGCTTCCAGAATGTGGAGGCACCATCCCCGCAGGCTTTCCTGGAGATGCTCAAGAACATTCAGTCCATGCCCTAACCGGTTTGGCTCAGTGGATAGAGCGTTGGCCTGCGGACTGAAAAGTCCCAGGTTCGATTCCGGTCAAGGGCATGTATGTATCTTGGTTGCGGGCACATCCCCAGTAGGAGGTGTGCAGGAGGCAGCTGATCAATGTTTCTAACTCTCTCTCTCCCTTCCTCTCTGTAAAAAATCAATAAAATATATTTTTAAAAAATCAATTGTATAAAAATAAAATAAAACAAAAAACATTCATGAGAATGTTTAAAAATTGGACCCCGCGTACATTGCTGGTGGAAATGTAAAATAGCGGGGCCAGGTTGGAAAACGAGAGTCACCAGATGGCCCAGAAGTTCCACTTCTAGGTACATACCCACAAGAAATGGAAACATGTCCACACAAAAAACTTGTACACAATGTTCATAGCAGCGTTATTCATAAGAGCCTCAAATCGAAACAACCCAAATACTCATCAAGTGATGAATGGGTAAACAAAATGTGGTATGCCCATACACTAGAATATAGCATACATAAAACTTTAAAATGTTATGCTAAGTGAAAGAAGCCAGTCACTTATTTTTCTTTAGTTCACCCATCCTGTGTCCCAGCCATTTTGAACATTTATCATTTCCTCCAGAGCCATGCTTTGCTTACCTACCAGCATTCACGCATATTCCTTAGATTTATTTAGATTTGATAATCTCTGGTGCTGGAGTTGTCACTTTACTCTCTAAACATCAGTTTCCTTTCATTCAAAATGAGAATAATAATACCCACATCACTGAGTTAAAGTGAGAATCAAATAAGACAATTCATATACAACACTTAGCACAATAAAGGTGGCTATTAATAAAATACTTTCCTATTGCAGGATCATTAGTCAAGGATCCACACTGTAGTTTCTGCATGTGAACAATTGTCTTCATTTAGCTCTGGATCATACTCCATTTTCAGTTTTGAAATCCTGGAGAACCCATCTTTGAATCGTAATTTCTATATTTCCTGTCCCTTATAGAAGGACCTTTTCTTCCAATAAACTATTTGAGTAGCCATCACACTTATGGAATATACCAATTTTTAGTGCACATATTGATATTTTTAAAATTCCTTATTATCAACTAAGTTATCAGGTCTTTAATTATAGGGCCATGTCTTAAAGCCTTTTTATCTCTACAGTTTCTTAAAAGAACAAGAGCTCAGTCTAGCTGGCGTGGCTCAGTGGTTGAGTGTCAACTTATGAACCAGAAGGTCATGGTTTGATTGCCAGTCAGAGCACATGCCTGGGTTGTGGGGTTCAATTCTCAGTGGGGGGTGTGCAGGAGACAGCCAATCAACGATTATCGCTCACCATTGATCTTTCTACCTCTTTCTCCTTTCTTTTCTGAAATTAATAAAAATATATTTTTAAAAAATTGAAAAGAAAGAACAAGAGCTCAGATAAATCTGATTCTGATGGTGATGACAATTGCTTTCCCTTGACCATGACTTTAAATTTCCCAAGGTAATGCCCTGATTTTCAAACTTTTATTTCAGCCATGAAACCCTATTGGCAATATAATATTACAGAACTGCAGTAGATATTACAGGTCATAGCTGAGCTACTCTCCACGAAATAGGGGAGGGGCTCAGAGTGGTTCAGTTTCCATCTCTCCATCCCCTATTCACAGAGTGACAGGACTCTAGGAGTCAGAGGAGCTGGCATGGAGTCCTCCTCAAAGACAAGGCAGGTGAAGATCTTGGTCATGTCACTTTAACCATGGTGACCTTCAGCTACCTCATCTCCAAAACAGAGAATTGTTTGAAAAATGGAAGTAAGAAGGCAATACAAACATATTGGCATTAATGCTGTTGCTTTACATTTTAGAGTGAGGGAAGCTCTCTGTGGTCCTATATCCTTTGTGCTCAAATGTGGTGTGACATGAGAAAGGTCCAGGGTCTAAAACCAAGGTAACTATGAGAAAGAAAAATTGACAGTGCCCTGATTTAAAAAAAAAAATCTCGTTGGGTAGAAGGCATAGGCTTGGAAGAGCTAGTCTAGCTTCAAGTGTAGTAGAAAGGAGAGGAGTGGATTGGGGACATCATTTCTACAAGTCTAGGAATTGGCCTACACACCTTCCTTCTCTTCCCATTATACTTCCCATTATACTGACCTTAGGGAAGGGCAGATGACCAATTTCAGGTATTTTCATATATTTAGAAATATCAAAATCAGGTGTTGCCTCATCAACATAGAGCTGCCCATAGGGACAGAATTGTTGTGAAAAAACAATGGGAAGATGACCGGGTTTTTTAAATAGTATGGCCCTGCATGGGTGTAAGTCACCAGCAAAGAATCTTGTGAAGGTTTGAATTTGCTTTTTTCTTCCTATCTGGCTCACCATGCTTTCTCAGGCTGGATGCTGAATAGTAAGCTAATGTCCTTGTCATCTCCTTCAGGGACTATGTTTGATAGAGGCAGGGCTCCCCGATGGTGGCCTGGAGCATTCTCCTCCACCCATTTTCCTGAACGCTCACAGAGCAGGAAAAGCATGTTCTATCTTATTAGATTTCAGAGATGTGGACATGGTACAATATTCCTGATTCAAAATTGTCAGCTAAAAAGAGAGGACTAAAGTATTGGGTAAGTAATTTTGAAAAGATATTGAGTGAAAAGGGAATAAGATAGTTGCAAGGGCTTTGATCAGGAAGGCCGCTGTATTTCTTACCCATTATTCTTATTAAAAACGAATTGATTACACCTCTTTATATTCCCAATGAGAAGGTCATTGACATGCCTGGTATGAATGGAACCAGCTCAGGGTTTTTTCTGAGTCAGGCAAAGAGAAAAAGGCATAGAGGGAGGTGGGGGAGGACTACTGTTTACATTTGGAGAAAAATAATTTAATACCTTGATATACCATATAAATGGGCAAAAGAAATAAATGAAAAAGTCACACCAGAGAAAATTTAAACAGCAAACACACTAACAAGTGTTCATCTTGTCTTATGTAGTTCACACAGCTGTGGGCATGAAATAGTGAAACTATAAACTCTTAAACTGTGCAGGTGGGTAGGATTTTTAGTAATGTTTCTGGGGAAGTACTCTTGGGATCCACATTTCTACCCAATTCAGGTACATGTGAGAGTTACCCTTCCTACCTTTTTTTGGAATTACTCTCCTCTGGAATCTCCCACTGTTTGGAACTGGTTTGTCACTTGGAACTCTCCTTTCTTTGCAAATAAACTCTGCAGTAATAACAGTTCTCATTTGGAGTAGGGGGGTACACATCAGTCACCAGGCATTTCTCAAAGCATTCCTGTGTTAATTTGATCATTACTATCACCCTACCATATAGGTCTTCTCCTTCTCCATCTTCTTCTCCTATAGGTAAGGAAACTGAAGCATACAGAGCAAGTAGTTTGCCCAAGTAACAGAGCTGGAATTCAAAACAAGGCAGGCTGACTTTGTATCCCATATTCTATCTCTACATATTTATCTCTTTACCTTTTCATTGAAGCCTCTTTCTTCCTTCTTAACTCAACTTCCCCCATGGCATAAAACATCTATCTGGGAATGCCCCCAGGGAATGATTCAGTGGTCAAATATTAGTACAAATGAAAACATTTGGATAAAACACTTTTCTACTCCACAGGATTTCCTGAAACTGTTTAGCTAGTAACATGATTCTTTTGGAAGAGGGTATATCATGCAGTATATTTCAAACTTATCTGATCAGGGAACCTTTTATTTGACATTATTTGGCTGAGCTTCTTTAACATCTGGGGGAGGTACTGTTGTGCAGGACACAACTAGGGACACTGTTTTACCTAAATAGCAGCTGGACCTGAGCAGATACTTACTTCCCCTTTGGCTGGAGGCTGAGTTTTCTCCCACACTTCACATCTCATGGAGAAGCAGGCTTAGGGGAAGTTCTCCTAGCTGTTTCCAACCCATTGCTCTTTGATCTGCTTGATAATGAAAGCCCTCTTCCTTTGAGGCTAATGACATTCATCCATCCCACTATTACTACTTCTCATTGCTTTTATTTGCTTAACTCTTGACCTCTTCCCTTCTTCACTGAAGACTTTAGCAATTGCAGAGCTATTTTCCTCTCCACCCCAATTCCTCCAACTGTCATGGGCAACATCTATGTAGTTGAACCACCCAAGAGCCAGACCTGAAACTCCTTTTCTCTGACTACCCATGACTCTTACTCCCCTTCAATCACCTACATCACTTGGTAATTGTTATTTCCAAGAATCCACCATCAATAAGATGTAAACTTCTGTATCCCACAATGACCCAAATTTCCCTCCTTCTAGCTAACTTCCTTCTTTACAAATCTTCTGATTCTTCACCACATCAAGACCACTAAACTCCCAAGCTTCCCTTTACAACATGGCCATTGCCCCCCTTTCTAATGCTTCCCTTTCTACCCTGTCCAGTCTAGATTCCTCTGTGGTGCACAACCACACACCTATTGCTGGTATCCTCAAACTTTTCATCCTCTTATTCTTTTGCTAGACATTTGTAATTCTGCTTGGTCATCCTTTCATTCCTGTTATTAAAGGTTCTCTTCTCAGTCTAGTAAATTCTACTGCTTGGATGTAAAAAGGAAGATGATGTTTATCATGTTCTCTATTTAAGCTGGGTTGCTCTTCCACTTTCTTTTCTAGTCTATACAAATAATAGTGGTTTATATTCATCTCTCATCTTCCTTCCTCATAGGATTATCAGAGATTAACCTCCAGTATTTGTTATGCTTTCAATGCAATCAGTTTCAGGAGGGAATGTTTATGATAAGTTTCTTTCTATAATCAGAATATCACAGATTAACATTTTCAGGCTTTCCCCCTTCTTCAGCAGGCTTAATATTTTCAACATCATTTTTTCATTACAGTGGTCAATGGGTTGAGCCTGTCCCTTCCATAATCATCCATAGTGCAGAACAATTTCTGTTCCTCTTAACACCTTTTGTTTTAAGCCAATTTAGATTTTTTTCCTGATTTACTTAACATTCTTGTTGTTCAGAAGACCTTTTATGATGTGCAGCCAGGGTACCCACCAGAAAAATCCA